ACAGGGGGTGAAAGAAACATTCAGCCCTTGAGCTGAGCAACTGGCTAACACTCTACTTTGATAATTTAATTGTACACAGGAAGCTTCCTTGACCGAGTATTCTTTCAATATATCAACCCAGTTTTCTTAGTTTCAAGAAGGCCTTGAGAGATTTGACATTATGCATTTCACCTTATTGAAGCACAGTGGCAGAGCAGGTTATCATGTTTCACTAGAGTTTCAAGAAGTGTGCATGTGAACCTTGCTTTGGACTTATGGGAAAAGCTGCTTTCAGATGAGATGGCTGTAAATACATACCCAGTTGTTCAGGCTTGCGTGAAGAAGGTGGACAGATATGATACTACCCACACAGCTCCCTCCTGTGCCTTCAGCTACAGAAACTGGCATGACTTAACCATGTTAGGCCCATAGCGCTGGGCTTCTGCAGAGCTTTGAAAATGAATGTTTCATAGAGCCTCTTATCTGGACATTCCTAGAAACACAGTCTATTTCTAGCCAATGTCATAAAACACACTCCTAAAATATCTAATTCATTTTAACATCACCTTCAGAAGCTCTCATACTATAATAACAGAACTTGGAAGGCAAACTATTCCAGAATGGCCTATCCAGAAGGAACATAACCCTAGGTCATCTCATGGCATATATACCAGGAGATGATGCACTCTTTTAAATGTCATATTCTCATTTATAAAATGATCCTCTAACAGCCTCCAGGCACACAAACAGCAACACGAAAAATAATAAAATAAGCAAAACTTACCAGAAACAATCACAATTTAAACAAGAAATCTAAACAATACAATAGTTACAATTCAAGAATTGTTATCCTTTTCTGCTTCTTTTGCACATTAGTACAATGAAAATTGACCTCGTGAAAAGGAATTTCCTAGAACTGAATGTATGCTTGCTACTCAGCCACACATTTAATGCAAGGCTTATTTAATGCAAATTATTATTGCAACTAAACTACAATAAAATATATTGAAATGTTGCTCTTTTCAAAAGGAATCAATGAAAATGTTATTTTAAGATATAACTGCTTGAATCTGAAAATTATTTAACAGTATTCTTTCAGATTTGCAGTGTTCCATTTTGTATTGTATTAAACAAACAAACAAAATGTGCACAAAATGATTTTAAAAAATCATGATGTAATAGAAGCTTTTATCTCTAAACACTGTTTAGTCTGGAAAAAACAGCAGCATATTTTTATAAGAGATATGAATGTATTTTTTTTAACTGTGCCATTGTAATTCAAAAGCAAAAAGTCAGGAATTGAAATTAAGGATGGGAATATCTGAGTTTCAGACATAACTCTATTGTACAAAAATTGAAAGTGTAAACCGAACCACAAGTCAGCAATTTTAGAAACTCAAGAGATACGCAAGTTATGAAAAAAGCCAATTAGACTTGGTTTAGGAAAGCATGAGCTCAAGTACTAATCTAGTTTTTTGGGTGACTTAGGTTTAAGAAGCTGTTCTGCAATGGACTTTCTGTATGTAGAGCTGGCTGAAATGAGGGATTTCTGATATGTGAGTATTCTAGGACTTTTTAAAGTTTGATTTTGGTCTCATATTGAAACTTCTCACAGGCTGAAACACTGAGGGAAAAAAAAAGACTTTTTAGGGAATGAAGCAACATCTCCCAGGGACTCTGCAATGGTTTAGTGAAACTGATATTCCTGAGCCAGCATTCAGGGGACCTTTAGACTCCTAGCATCGTGCCAGGGAGCCTGGAAGTCCTGTCCTGGCTGGTTGCCATAGAGCTACAGATCCTGGTATCTGCTTGATGGTGCTGCTCTAGAGATGTCACTGGGAGCACAAATATTCGAAGCAGCCTACTAACATCCCATACTAACATGTAGGCAGGGTTCGATAAGAACTTAGACAAAGATTTTCAGGTTCAGCAGCATTTTTTAACAAAACTGTTACATCAGAAAAAATCTGACTAGCTATAACTGTGACCTTATCCAAGTCTCAGTTTTGAGTTGGAGCCTTAGATACCCATATAGAAAAAGGAAAAAATAGGCCCTACTTTGCAGAGGGTTGTGAGGATGAAAACATTAGGGATTGAGATGCTTGTATGATACAGTAATGAGAATCATATAAGCATGTAGAGCTAGGTTATAATTATTACCACATTTAAATGGTTTTAAAAATCTTATTAATATGCAGGTCCTTTCAGACTTTTCTTGACTTTTTTTGGTCTTCTGGCCTTGAATGTTTTGCTTATTTTATAGTATTTCATTTCTGCACTGCTGTTAGGATAACATGTACACACACAACATCCAAATCCTCATCATGGAATTATAGTCTTAGGTAGGGCTGGCCCACAATTTTGGGGGGGTCCCTGCAAGATATAGTTTTGCGGCCTCTTGATCCATCAAAAAAATCAAAATTGCAGTTAATTGCGGTATAAACTCACTGAAATAACATAGTCAGGGCTGGGATGTGCACATGTGGGCTGCACTGTGGGGGGCGCAAGGTGGGGGCAGCATGTGCTGGGGACACCTGGGTTCCCTCCCTGGGGCCAGGGCTGGAGTGGAGCCAGGAACTCCTCCCCAACTCAGACAGGAAGGGGCTCCTTGCCTGCATCAAGCCCTTTATACATGGCACAGGCGGTGGGGGGCAAGTGGGGCATGGCCCCTTCGCTGCGGGGCCCCCTGCAGCCACAAGTTCCATGGGATAGGATGGGCTGGCCCTGGTCTTAGGAGTGTCACAGAACAGATCAATTTTTTACAACCAAAAATGTCACAAAAAAAGAACACATTCTAGGATATCACCTGTTCTACTTTTGATCTGTCTCACAGAAAAAAGAAAAGGCATTTGACTGGGGCACTACAATTCAGTGATAATTCATGCTCATGTTGTGTGATCAAAACCTGTAATTCAATTCATTTTTCACCAAAAGTTTGATCTTTTGTAGTGATATAATACTAATATTGTAAAAGTTTCTTACAGATCATACAGTTAAGAAAAGGGTTTGTGCTAAATAGAGATCACCCAAGGTTAACATATAGTGTTGAATCTTATTTAAATGCGAGTTTGGGGTAAACCGCTCTGCTGGTATATGATGCTAGGTCCATTTATGTCAGAAGACAATTTGGCTTCTAGTGCTCATGAAAAATACCAAACTGACAAAGCAGACATCTCTACGCTAGTCACCTGCACAGACACAGAGTGAATGAAATGAGAGGCAGTAGAGGGTAGGTTCAATCCCTGGTTTCTCTGCAAAGATAGTTAACTCATAAAACAATTCCAAGGTTGTTCATAATGAGGAGATTTGCAGATTACCAGCCTATTAGATATTTATAATTGGACAGCTACAAAGAATTGACTTCTCTATATCAGCTGGTCTAGGTCATTTTTACATCAGAAATAAGAAAATGTGTATCCCATTCCCTGAATTTTGAGAAACATTTTGGGTGCACACAGGTAGGCAGGTGTTCACTGCGCTCAGTCTATGTTTGTGGAGCTTTCTTTAAGCCAAGTGAACATAGACCAGAAGAGGCATGTACAGCCATTCATCCATCCTGGGAGCTACCTGGGGAAGCTGGAGTAAGTATCTTGGGGTGTGAGGAGGGACAGGCAGAATTTGGGGGTGGGGGCTAATGTGTTGGCAGTATTAGGAAGGGCTAACAGGTTTGGGGGCGGGGGGTTGTCTGTCCAGGAGTGGGGCATTCAGGGAGATAAAAATTGTCTGATCAGGGATGAGGGGAGCTGGGGTAGGAAGGCATAGCCCCAGAACTGGGACAAGTGGCTGGGTTTTTCCAGTCCCAAGCTCTGTTCTCAACACATAGAGGTATTTAAGAGATCAGATGAACTAACTTAGATCAGGCCCACCATTTTTTGTCCAGTGATTTAACTCCCTTGAATATCTCAACAGCTGGGCATTTAGATCGACCTAACCCTGGTTAGTCTCATCTAAATGTAACACCTGTATATAGTCTCTGATATCCATGTGTGTGGCTGGAGGCAGCCAGATATCCTAGCAAGGCTAGGATGCAGTTACTGAGAGATGGAGATATTTTTAATACCATTACCCCTCATACCATTCCCAAAATAGAAGAGCATTTTGTGGAATGATAGAGGGTATCTCATTTAGAAAGAGGGAAAAGTCAAACATCAAAATATCTCCATAATATCGTAAGTTTGAAGTGGCCAGAATAATCACTAGAGTGTAGCCATCTCTTTTTGAACTTTTCATCCTCCAGCTCTTGACAAATATCTGTTATTCTTCTTATTTCCAGAATACTTCAGCTCCTGGTACATATCCTCACCTTCATTATTGCAAAGCAGGTCTACAATTTCCCTTTTTCTCTGCTTTTTATGAATTAAACAACCAGAATAACTGAGCTATCCCTGGGTAATTCATTGAAGTCACATAATTTACATTCAATTGCAGTGAACCAGAGGATAAAGCGATCATTTCACTTCCAAGAAAATGGTCCTTAAAACATTAGCGGAGCAGCTTCAGGAAGTATTCCAGCCAGCATTGATGAGAATGGGAATAGGGAATGAATGAAGAACACATTCTTTTTTTTCCAAACAGAACTGTAGCTGAACTTATCTAGACTTTCCATCTAGTTAACTCTTTGATAGTGAGTTACTTCATTCTTTAGTTTTATCTGCATTGACAGGTATGTCCTTGCTCTGAACATTTCTATTCTTTCATAAAGATATGTATTATGATTTCAGTAAACTTATTATCAATCTCTTAGCCAAACTGGGCTTAAAGAAACTGGTAGCCCTGGAAAGACCTGTATATTTGCACAGCTACAGGAATAAATTAGAGAGAAACCAAACTATAAAGTGAAAAAAGCAAACTGTTATGTTTAAATATTGCAATGTGAAAGGTCATCCTTAAAATATTTGTGAAAATAAAAGTAGCAGAAAAAACAAAGGACCTCATTTTTAAAAGAAGAACTATCAAGAATGCACTTGATGTTTCTAAGTCACAGTAGGCACATGAGAGATTTGTAAAGAAGGTTCACTTACCATAGGTTGACTAGGAAGGGATGCTCAAGGCCTTGCATGATCTGTAGCTCCCGAAAAACATTTCGGACTTCATCTCTCTCAATGCACTTCTGCTTATTCATATATTTCATGGCATACATTTTCTTGGTGTCTCTCTTCTGCACAATACACACCTAAATTGACAGCAAAGGGAAAAACAAAGCATGAGAATCTACAACAATTACTGAAAAAAAATCTGTAACTTAAAAAGACAAGCCTTCTTTCTGTCATAATTGTTACTACAAGATACTATAAACACTGCTCACCTGTAAAACCCTGAGGAAGACCCCTACCTTAGCTCTTTCTTAACACTTTTCATCACTAGATCTCAAAGCACTACACAAAAATAGGTCTGTTTTTCAGATGAAAAACAAAGACCAGGCTGGTGACGTGATTAACCCCAAAAAATCAGCAGAACCATAGCAGAGCCCAGAAAGGATCAAGTCCACTAGGTAGTGTGCCTCTCTCAATTAAAAAATGTCCACTGTCCTCATTCCCACAGACCCATACATACATCTTAATTACAGCACAATAATTAGTGCCTGGACCTGCGTGTCTCTGATCATCTACATTTCAGAGATGCTCTCCCATAAGTAGCAGGGATGGGAAAGATGATCTTTGCATGCTTTTTAAAGCCAGAAGGGACCATTACAACAATCTAATCTCAGGCAATAGAACACTTTGCTTTGTGTTTTTTTTGTTCTTTTTGAAAAGTAGTACGGACTCAAGAAGAATAAAAGAAACAATATTGCCATTCCTGTCTGTATTAGCCATCAGGTTTAGTGTAGTCCTTCTTCTGAATAGAATTGGACAAACATGCTTAAGGAGCAGACATCTCTAAGTACCGTTATGCTGAAATGGGATTTCTGAAAAAGTTCTGAAAAGTGTTACTGAAAGGTTAAGTAAAGATGTAGCTGTTCTGATGGCAAACAGTGATTTCACGTTCACAGCAAGTGCTCTGTTCTTCAGTGCAATGATATAGGTTAAGGATTGTCTGAGATCCTTTCACTTTGAACATTCCTGTTCCTTTAGATTGGTATATTTTGTTAAGTCAGACCCTTGCTAGTGCTGCAATACATTTTCTAGTATTAAGCATTATTCCAAATTAGTATTTATATTATAGTAGCAGGCACAGGCTCCAATTAGGATTGAAGTCCCATTATGCTATGCACTGTATACACATGCAAAATAACTGCAAGCAAGAACTGTACTCCTTCCCTAGTTCCTTAATGTCATATAAAAGGGCTTTGAAACCTCTGTACCTGGCCATGAGAGGATTTACTAGCACAGATACTTTGAGTGATTTGTAGATGACTTGCAAGACCTAGCAAGTCCTGTCACAAAGTGAGGAAGGACATGAAGCTAAGTGACCCCAGCTCTATAAACTTGGTTACGTAACTAAGCAAACCCCAAGGCTAACTTATACCACCTGTCTAACAGCTGTTCTGCAGTGTTTTAAAGCCACCTCAGCACTTCCTCCCTCTGCAAGTTCTGTGTTGCACCTCTTGGAGAGGAGAGATGTAGCACAGGGTCTCACCTCTTGTCTTTCCCCAAATGCTGACATATTAAGTAAGGGACAGATTTTTGGTATTTATATTCACAGTTAGAGGCAATTTGCACCAAACTCAGTCCTGTTAATTTCTGTGGAAATACCTCTCAGGTAAGCTGCAATCCAACCTGTACAAGGATATCAGAATCTGGCCCTAGGAAAAGACAATTCAAGCAGCTATATAGAGCTATATGTCTTACCAGAAAGAACAAAATACAATCTGCCTCTCAAATTATCAGGGTTGATTTTTTTTTTTTTTGTAGACATTAGAGCAGAGACAAATCTTGAAAGTTTCAAAGAAGAAAGAAGGTAGAGTGCAGTAGTTCTGAACCTTTTTAGACTCAAGGCCCCCCTCAGAATGCCAGCTCTTACCTTTCACTAATTTTCTTGACTACAGAAACATAATAGAGCAATTTTCTCCATTGCAAAGAACTCAGAAAGAGCACAGCAGGCCAGGATGGTTTCTTCAAGACACTATGGAATCTTATTTGAAATCTCTGGTTTTACTTTATGAGGTATATGGAGGTATTTGCTTACTTAAAAATGATAATATTAAGCCCCACGTGGCTGCACCTGTAAAAGGATCTCACAGAACCCCAGGGTGATGCAACGCCCTAGTTAAGAATCACTGATATAGTGACAATACAACTGAAAGCCATTTAAGTTAGAAAGCCTTTTCCAAGGAGAGTTTTGGATGTTTGCTTTCAGTGCATTGGCGACACATAGGGGGTGCATGTGCACCCACTAAGATTGGTGGTGCACTCCCTGGGAGAAGTGCCACTGATGCTGCTGGCAGTGGTCTGAGCTTACCAACCCCTCCGCCGCTGCCTGTGAGAGCTCCCCACTGCCATGTCCTTGCCGGTCACCATGCCTTCCCAGCCTCCAGGGTCACACATCATTCACGTTTCAGTGGGGGCATCTACATGTGCAATTTACTGCGGTATTGCCAGGCATGAACCATGACAGCAATGCTACTACACAGTAGTTAAAAGCTAGTGCTCAGTAGCTCATTGCTACTGCACTGTAGCATCTAAAAATAACTGTGCGGCAACAGGACTGCACAGTAATGCCAGTTACCACAGTCATTTACTACTTGTTTAAGCACATGTGTAGACACACCCTGTAAATTTACTAATGCCACTGTAAGATAGTACTGTCAGCAACAGTACTGTCCTATGGTGGAGTCATTTATTATACTGAAATGCATGTGTGGATAGTGACTGGGAAAGCAATGCTTTGAGCCAAAGCAGAGCAACCAAGGGGTGGCAGCACACAGCTCAGCAGTTTCAGCACTCTTGTGTCCAGCCAGCCCCTCCTCTGCCTGACACCGCCGCCTGGAGCCCCAAGCTGACCACCCCCC